AGATAGATATGGAGGCGAAAGAGTGTTTTAAATAACTGAAAAACAAAACAATTCTCTTGTTTTTCCCCAAAGAGAATAACTGCAGTAATTTACATCACTTCAACTAATGTACAATACTGCAGTGGTTTTTATTATGCAGCTTATCAAGGATGTGTAATTAGCTAAGTGACTTTCGCCTCCTATCACAAAGCTGTTGATTCACAAAGTCATAAATAAAGATGCTGTTGAAGAATGCATAAATAGAACATAATACATAAAAAATGTAGGATCAGGATAAAGATAAGGGCAACAAAAAGTACACTAGTCATTGAGAAAGTGACCTTTCTTCTCACACAACTTCAGAGAGAAAAGGACTCATTAGAACATTCTTTTTCATTGTTCTTTGGATTGTTGGTTCCATCTGCTTTATAAGAGAGTTGGCAGAGAGAGGTTTAGGCTGTGCTATTTACCTTGGCAAACTTTGAACTAATTTCTAATTTGCCTGGACACAGTATCTCTAGATGCCCACTTGAGCCTGTATGATTTATAGTCCCAATACATTGTGTTTTTGTAGTTTTAACATTATCAAAAACTATTTGCCTTGGGAATTTAGGATATCCTATTATTATTAACTAAGTTCTTATTATTTCCATATTATTCTAAATTCTAGATAACAAATAATTTATATGTAGTATTCTATATAGATAGCTTTTTAAACATTTTTTTCAGAGAGCATGTGTGCTTTCTAGAGACAGACAGACATAAAGAGAGAAAGGGAAAGGAAGAAAGCATCCCCTAATGGAGCCTGGTCATGCCACCATCCTGTCTCCATTTCTTCGTGTAGAGATTGCACACCCATGCCCTGCGTGTTTTTAGCCATCTGGTCCAGGATTCAAACTACGCAGTCAACCATGTGGGATACAGCTCTGGTAGCCAGTAGGTCAAGAGACTGGCCATAAGTAGAATTTTAAAAATAAACAAAAACTAAATTTTAGAGTTCAGCTTCTAATTAGAGGAGTAGTATTTTCCCCCCAAAACTTTTCACCTTTTATGTGTTTTTCCTTCTCTAGATGACAGATCCATTTTGGCCACATTAAGAAATCATGTTATCTTGGTCCGAGACATTACTGGTCACTTTGTAGCTATCTGTCTCTCCATCTATCTGTCATGAGCTCTTTAGTCACATTCCAGACATTTATAAATGATGTTTCAGAAACTGTGAGAATAGTTGTGTTGCCTTTTCTTCAGATGCTAATGAAATTCTGGTTTATTATTATTTATCTTTCTTTTTTTTACAAAAAATAAAATGTATGTGGTCACCCGCAGAGGCAGGTTCCCGTGTCGAGCACCTTGCATGTAATGTGTGCACACAGTGCGTGTGTACGTACATCCTGTGGACACTACATTCATTCAGAGCTGTTTTACAAATCGCGACTGAAAGCCACACGCTATTCAAGGGAGTCAGTAATGAATAAAACAGATAAAGAGCCCTCTTCCCATGGAACTTATATTCAAGAAACTTCACAAAGGACAAAGCAATTTCTGCACTGTGCTGTATAAAAGAAGAAAAGCTTCCTCATTGGAAAGATGTCATGTTTTAATTTTTAAAGAGAGCTCTTCTAGTATTTCCGGTGTATTGAAGAAACAAGAACCACATATTTTTAATCTATAGGCTGCCTCTCATTTTAGAACATGTCCCAGTTGCACCTTTAATCTGTCTTTTTATATTTCCCATGATGGTTTTAGCCATATGTTAATCACCCTATAGATATTTCTTTGGGGTTTTATCCTTGCAAAATTGAGAGGAAGTATGGATGCTTAAAGTGCGATGCGTGTCAACCCTTGGACAAGTAGGTATATAACACAATAGAAACTGGAATTTGGATGTGGGGATCAGACATCTGCTTCTATCTATTAGGTGTTTTGCATAATTTATATTTAATCATCACAACAACTTTACGAGAGAAGTATGTTACTATCTCTATCTTACATGTTAGAAAATCAGTTATGAGAAGTTAGGTATGCTGACCCCATTCCTACTGCTTGTAAATATTTGAGGTGGGTTTGGCCTTAGGTATTCATTTTTGTTTGTGTTTTTTTTTGTGTGTGTGTATGTGTTTAAAATTTTAAAAAACTTTATTTGGCTTGGTTTAGTTTGGTTAGAAGGAGTCAAGGAGAGAAATATGGTGAGATTGTTTTTACTAGATGCGTTTCTAGTATGTTAAATGACCTCCTGTAGATGATTTCTATAGCAGAGGCTTACATCTCTCCACCTTTCCTCCTGTCTTCCTTCGCCTGAACATTTACATATATTGTGAATACTTTTATTTGGTTAGTTGAAAATCTGTTAGATTTAGTGCTCACCTTAATTGAATTGGGTCAAGCCAATCTTAGCACCAAATTTCCAGAAGTGGTTCAGTACCCCCTTTTAACCACTGCTTTTAATAATACAGTTTCTTACTGTCCAAAGATCTCAACATATTTCTCCTAGCTGCCATCAAGACACAGCTTTTTATTGCTTAAGTGTCCCTTTGCTTTTCTAGATTGCTCTAGGGGAGAGCTGCTAGTGAACAGTAGTCAGGCATTAAGCAGTAACATGAGAAGGAAAAAGGGACCCAGAACGTCCACAGCAAATGGGCCATGGACACTCTCCGAGTTGGATAGCTTATAATTCTCTAGCAATGTGACTGTTACTTGCATAGCTCTCCTGACATGAATACAGAACTATTTTCCATTTCTGAACTTTTGAGGCATTGCTAATCTGCATTTTTATTTACCCCAACTTTTATGTTGCAGATTAGAGTCTTTATAGATGACTCTGGTACAATTCTTTACTTACTGAAAACTTTGCTCCAAATTTTAAAAAGAATTTATCTTTCATATGCTCTGTTTGATCATCTTTACCTGAAATAATATTGAATTTCTTCAAGAGCCTTTCCTATAAATTTGGTATTTATTTGGCTGTGTTTTTTAACACAAAGGACTTATTTTTCCCCTAATTAAACATGCATAACAATGATTCTTATCTCTGTTAATGAGGTTAGGATTTTATTTCATTTTAAGAGAGATTTTTGCTATAGGGTGCATGTGCTTACCAGAGAGATAGAGACAGAAAGTGAGAAATCACCCCTGAGGGGATGGCCATGCTGCAGTCCTTTTCCCTGGATGTCTCCTCTTGGGATTTTGGGCACACATGACTTGTGCGAATTTGAAGCCACCAGGTCAGGGGCTTGAACTGTGGTCGGTCATGTGGGAGTCCAGTGATGTAACCATTTCACCATCTGCTGGTCCCATGGCTAAGATTTTAAAAGGCAATGATATTTGAAAATACTCTTCCTTCTTACTTATACATTTCTAACTGGTGTGTTTATTTGAGAGATACTCATTGAGTTCTTACTATGTACTATTGTTCTACATCTAAGGGATACATCCACAAATAAGAGGGAGAAAAATCAAATTGGCCTGCCCTCCTGAAGCTTATATTTTAGTATATAGAGACAGCTTGTGAACAGTAAGCACAAGAAACAACTGAACTAAAAAGAGAAGGTGAGAAATACAGAGTGCTGCCGTGGAGCGTGAAGACAATCTTAAATAGGTGATCGGAGTAGCCTTGTTCGAGCAGACCTGAAGGCATTTCAGGGCGACCTCTGAAAAGAGCAAAGCAAAGAGCTAGGAAGAAGACATCGTTATGAGGCCGCCTCACACACACATTATCAAGAGACTGTATAGATTTCAAGGTATTTTTTGCACCAAAATAAACTTGTTCTGTAATTACATTTTCTTCCAAATACTATTTGAAGTGCCCTTGTAGTTAAGAAACAATTAGGACTAGAGCCTAGCTGGAAAGGAAGGAGGTAAAGAGGTAATAGATTCAGACCGGCTGGCTTGGTTTTTGAAAGATCACACTAGTGAATGTGTTAGGACGAGGTTGCAGAAGAGCAGGAGAGATGGGAAAGGGACAGTTGGCTGTCACAGTTCAGGGACAACTTAGCATAGCCCAGGCTCAGGCATGGGTAGTGACAAACAGCAGAGATGGTAGACTCACCATATATTTTAAAGATCACGTTTCTTGATCCATTTACTGTGAACTGTGAAAGACAGGGAAATCGAAGAAGATTTCTAGCTATTTGGTCTGAATACTTGGAAGAGTAGATTTCTAACTTATTAAGGTGAGAAAGAAAGAATATATTACAGACAGATTTGGGTAGAGGTGCAGTGGAAAGAGGGTGAATTTAATTTGGGGCATGTAATCTGAGGTGACCCTTTGACATATGAGTGCAGATATCAAGAACCCGTTTCTTTACCCAGCATCCTGAGCACAGATTAGGGAAGAGGTCTAAAGGGAGCTATGAATTTGGGAGTCAGTGCAGTATTGAAGGTAAAGATGTGAAGTCATGAAGAAAAGTGAAAATACTAGGGAAGAAAATGAAGATTAACACCAAAAAACAACGACAACAACAAAAAACCAGAAAAGACAGCATGGGGGACATTCTAACATTAGGCTCGGGAGAAAAGAAGAAGGGTGATGGTGACAGATAAAGTGCAACATGTGGGATGAGAGACTTTTTTCGGCTTGCAAGGTGGATGGAAGAAATAACTACTTGTAGATAATAGAAAGAGAACAGTTAAAAATGGAGGAGAAGGGGGAACCAGCAGTTAGCGTAATGGCTATGTAGCTGGACTCCCACGTAGTCGACCGCGGTTCGTGTCCCGGACCCGGTGGCTTAAAACTCACGCCGGGCGCGTGTGCGTGCGTGCCCAAGATCCTGAGAGGAGAATGGAGGACAAGGGACTGTGGCGTGACCATCCCCCCTGGGGGGTGATTTCTCGCTTTCTGTCTCTATGTCTCTCTCTGTCTGGCGAGCACATGCGCCCTACAGTGAAAATCTCTCCAAAAAAAAAAAAATGGAGGAGAAGGAGGTAGACTGGAACAGTATTCGTTTTTTTTAAATTTCTTTCTTTTTTTTTGTATATACATTCAATCGCATTGTTGAGCTTACAATGTGAGCATTTGAATATGTGAACATTTCTCCCCACTCCCTTTGATCAAAATATCTTCAACCGATAACACCACTCTTCCCCATCCCGTCAATGTTCTACCTCTGTATCCCTTCTCCAAATGTCCTTCATTCATAGGTGAGAAATACGGGGTTCAGTGCACATCTTTGGAGACTTCGTAATAAAAAAACCACGTAATGTAGATTAATCTGTAGCTAGGCAGAGCACGTGAGTGTGTGCACATGGGTAGAAGTAGTGAGATTCTGTACTTTTCTGTTTCTATTTTGTTTGATGAGCAATATTAAGAGGAATGAAGATAGGATGAACACCAGTGAGTTTTTGTGTTCTGAACATTTGGCCATATTAACTAATTTACTATTAGAATAATTTTATGAGAGTCTTATCTTCATCATGCTGATATAGAAAGGAAGGTAAGAAGATGTTAAGTTGCCTGCCCAAAGTGGCATGAAACTTTGGTTTATTGGTGGCCAGCTAACTATTCTTCTGTTAAGGGGACTGTTTTATAATAGAAAAATTAAAATGAAATGACAAAAACTGCACCAGCAGCAGTAATCCCATGTAGGTAGGATTTCAGATCAAATGGACAATGACATTAATGGCCAATTTGCTTATTTCACACACTGAAATGCTCACAATGTCTGGCACATTTGGGTTTTGAACATGAATGGGAAAACAGATGGATTTGATTTCATATTTGAATGAGCGGCCGCAGACAGATGTGGTTGAGTTTTCTAAAAGCTAAACTGCTTAGTTTGGAACTCTGAAATGCAGTCGATCGAAAGGGCTGTAAAGTTTTAAAAGAACAACATCAATTGTTCCATTGTTTACTGACAGTCAGAGAGCCTCCTGAAGCAGATGATTAAAAGACCATTATAGTTGTCCAACTCAATTTTTCCAGAGAATAAATACTTTTTTTTCTTATAGAAACTGGAGTTGAAGTTGAAAACATTTAAGACTTATGCTACCAGCAAAAAGAGCTATGTTCCAAATAAACGCTTTGTAGAAACTGCTATTCTTTCTCCTAGCCAGTGTAATATCTTTTCCTCATCTACGGCTTCCCTGTATGGAGTGTACAATGAGCTTAGAAATTGGGATGCGTTCTTTGTCTTATTTGATGCCTCTGTCACTTGCCATTGCAGATTTAACTGACAGTCTCTGGCCTTTCATATTTCTGTTAACGGAAATTTATTCTTCCTCCCTTCATCCCTGTAGTTATACAGTCTAAAGTCTAAAGTAGCATAGCACCTGACTGCCTTCAAAAATCACACCACGTATAAATTTGCTAGTAACAACCAGACAGCCTCATTCTGTGTTTGATCAACCCTGCACAAGATACGGAAGAATAAATTCTAATCATAAATCTTCACGTCAGCCTTTCTAAGTGTGCGGAGGACTTCAGGTAACGTTTCCTGTAGGTGCCTAGGGCGGCCACAACAACGTGACCACAGACTGTGTGGCTTTACAACAGATCCATGCCCTCCCTCTTCTGAGCCGAGACATCTAAAACCGAGGAATCGGCAGGGTTGATTCTCTCTGGAAACTCTAGAGGAGCACCTCCCTGCTGCTTCCTGGCTGCCACTGGTTGCCAGCAGATCTTGGTGTTCCTGATCTAGTATTGCCTAATGCCAGTCTCCACCCTGAGATCACATGGTTTTCACCCCTATCTGTTGCCCTGTGTCTCTCTCTCCATCTCTTCACATGACCTGCTATAGGGCAGCAGCTATTAGATGTAGGCCTACTCTATTTCATCTTAACTACTTTCCCACAAACCTTGTATCAGTTTGTCACCTTATTAGTTTGCTGGGTTGCCACATTCTGAATGACTTAAATAACATTATTACTATTTTTTAATCTAATAGTTCAGGAAGCTCTAAGTCGGATAGCTCAAGGTATCAGCCGGGTTAGCTCTTTCTAGAGGCTGTAAAGAAGATCGACTGCAGGTCTCTCGCCTTAGCTCTTCGATGGCCATCTTCTCTGTGTCTCTTCACATAATGTCCCTGGCATGTCTGTCTGTGTTCATTTTACCTCCTTTTTATTAGAACACCAGTTTTATGAGACTAAAACCAACCTAATGACCTTGGCTTACCTAATTACATCTGTAACGAACTATTTCCAAATGAAGGGGATAACAGTCCATAACTGTCACATTCTGAGGTTCGGAATGGACATAAATTCTTGGAGGACACCAAGGACATTTACACTTCTTTTCATCCTGAATCCTAGGAATGATCACAAATGATGCTATCATTTTGCCGATTTTATAGGTTGAAACACTTTTGCATATTGGAGTTAAATACCTTGCCAATGTCACAGGACCGTTAAGATTGTAAGGGTTCCTGTTCACATCAAAAGTAAGATGTCGTGTGATCTTTGCCTTCATTGCAGTGGTCCCTCCTGCGGATATGGGTAATCTCTGCCCTCTTGAGAAGTTTACTGAATTTAAGTATTTTTCTATTGCGATAGAGCACTATGCATTGGTGTTAAGCTTTTAAATATCCAAGTGTTTGTGTAGACAAAATGATTCAGATTTTCCTTATATTTCTTGAATTTTAAACATTTTATCCAGATGGTTGCTTCATGCAAATATGGTTTAACTTAAAATTAAGATTTTTTTCCAATTTAAAACTGTAGTAGCATTGATTTTCAATTCTG